AGCAGGAATTACGTGCTGCTGAAGGTTGGGTTCAAAAAACAAAAATATACAGTTCAAAGGAGTTGGAATTAGCCACTGATCGTTTTAATGTGAATAGAATACTCGGTCAAGGTGGTCAAGGCACAGTTTATAAAGGGATGTTAGCAGATGGAAGGATTGTTGCTGTTAAGAAGTCCGTGGTCGTTGATGAAGGAAAGCTTGAAGAATTTATCAATGAGGTCGTCGTTCTTTCTCAAATTAACCATAGGAATGTGGTTAAGTTGCTCGGTTGTTGCTTGGAGACTGAAGTTCCGTTGCTAGTCTATGAGTTCATTCCCAATGGAAATCTTTACAAGTATATCCATGATCAAAACGAAGATTTCTTGTTATCTTGGGAAATGCGATTACGGATTGCCATTGAAGTTGCTGGAGCACTTTCCTATCTACACTCGGCGACATCCATTCCGATTTATCACCGTGATATCAAGTCTACAAACATACTCCTAGATGAGAAATACAGAGCAAAAGTATCTGATTTTGGATCTTCAAGATCTATATCCATCGATCAAACTCACTTGACCACTCTTGTGCAAGGTACTTTTGGCTACTTGGATCCCGAGTACTTCCAGTCCAGTCAATTTACAGAAAAGAGTGATGTTTATAGCTTTGGAGTGGTTCTGGTTGAGCTCATAAGTGGACAAAAACCGATATTTTCCGTAAGTCAGACAGAGACTAGAAGTTTAGCCACGCATTTTATTATGTTGATGGAAGACAATAGACTGTCTGATGTTCTTGATGCTAGAGTTAAGGAGGGCTGTCAGAATGAAGAAGTTATCTCGGTTGCTAATCTTGCGAAAAGATGCTTGAATTTGAATGGGAAAAATCGACCTACAATGCGAGAAGTCACATCAGAGTTGGAGAGGATAATTGGATTGTCTCCAAAAAAGCTAAATATTCAAGAGAACTTTAAAATATCAGAAAACACCATGGATGATGCAAGCAATGATTGGGATGCAGTTTCGACATCAATCACCGGTGATTTTGCTACTGGCAGGACTACATCATCCGATGGTGAACCGTTGATAAACATCACAACATGCTGATTCAACAACACATATCAATCGCTGAAAACATATATGCGTCTCTGTTTTTCTTTGCCCTTGTTCCTATTTTGATGTGAATTACACAAAAAAACATGCAAATTGCTTTATCCTGGGGGCGGACATTATGCTGATTAATTTGCAAGTCAATAGTTTTGAAATTAGTTTGTATACATATGTTCAAAGAATGATGTAGTCGACGTCACCTGCTGTTGGTTCAAATTCTTATGTTTGAGATTTCGGTTGAATTTCTCCATGGTAGAATTTCAGTAAAATATGATTAATCAACGGACGAAAATGGAAATTTCTTAGATATATGGCCTGGATTGAATTATACTCAAATTTAATCAGAATATTCAATGAGCCCAGTTTTATAGAAGGGTTAGCTTACTGTAATTAGTTAAGCTCCGGAAGGCCTTCATATTAGGCATAGAAAGCAAACCCCGTGTGAAATAACGCAATTTCCAAGTAAAAAAATAATAAATTAAAAAGAAATTTTATCATGACTAGAGGTGAAGATTCATGGTAATTAGTGTAAAACCCTGGACAATTAAAAGAATAAATATGCTCGTGAAAAATTACTTTCGGCCAAACATTTGATGGAAATAACATGTATGATACTTAAAATAGTGAGACTGTTGTAAATAAAAAAATTCACCTTCTTTCTCCTGCAATGCCGACAGTTTGGCTTCAAAAAAGGGGAGAAGAGTAATTTCAAAGAAATTCTTGTTTTCTTTCACCAAATTGGCATTAAAGAGTGTATATGAGCGGGTAATTGCTATAAAAAATTGATTGAGAAAAAAAGGGTTTGAGAGGTTGGGAACATAGAAAATAGAGAGAGAAAGTTGCAAAATTGGAGGAGAAAAGAGAAATTCTTTGGATTTCTTGCAAAGGGATTAAGAATTTGGGTTAATTGATTGTGGTAAGATGTTCCTATTACTCTAAATGCACTTTCTTTAGTTAATTTTTATGGGGGATTGAAAATCCTAAAATTTAAAAATTTAGGGGTTATGTGTGTTTGTGTTTGGAAGGTGACATGGTGTAGTTATTAGTTAATTTTGGGTTAGATAACATGGTTAAGGAATAAATTAAAGATAGTAAAAACTATTTTTTAGAAATTTGGGACCCTAAGTGGGCGGCCATAGTAGGGATTGTAAGGGAACGTGAAAACTTGATTAAACTGTGTTATTTTGATATTTGTGATGTTGATTTTTAGGAAGCTAGTTAATGTTGCAATATGTTGGAATGGAGTAAATGTGGAATTTTGGCTAAGTTACGTGGGTTTTGAGGATAGAAAGATGATGTGATGCTCTGATTGTGTAGGTTGAATGTGAAATGATGGAAGTAAGGAATTGGGGGAGAAAACACATGTAATTAATATTGTTGTTTTAATGATTTAATTATGCTTGTAAATTAATTGAGAGCTTGCAATTTAAAGATCATCTATGCTAATAAATTTTGATTGAGAAGTTGGTAATGAAAATATGAAATTGTAATTTGAGATACCATTATCACAAGGACTTATACCTGATAATGATAATGAAATGATGGAGTTATAGTTGGAAATAAATATTTAAAATGAAATGAAATTATGGTAACTATGTTTGTACCTAAGTTTTAGTACAAATTAAATGTAATTAAGCTTGATGCATAGGTTAATAATTAATATTTTCAAGTTGTAACAAGTAAAAAAATAAATTAGTAATTATTCTAGTTTTTTTTTTTTAATAATTATTCGTGCTTCGCTGCGGGTGGAGAGTCTCCGTACAGAGAAGACTTTGTCTAAAGATATGTAAAAAGAATTCCTCAGTTTACATGGACATGATTATTCAATGTCGGGTCATTGCATTGCATTGCATTGAAGATTTTGTTTTTGCTATCTTAATTATTTTTTTTAGTTTATTTAGAATTTTAATTACTTTTTCTATTTAGTTTTGAATTCTTCAGTTTGGTCAGTTTTTTCTTTTATATAAACAATCATTGTGTTGTTTCCATCAGATTATTGAATATCATATTTTTTAGAAAAATATCATATTTTTCCCAACATGATTCTCCATAATTTAGGGTTAAGACTTAATGTTGGATTCTCATGGTGTCAGGAAATTAAACTAAATCTTGATTGATGTTTGATTTAATAAAATTAAATTAAAACAATTGAAGCTACTGTGATCGGATTTGAACACTAGATAAGTATTTAGTCTCTTTTCTTGCAAACATCAAGGACTGAATTATATAATTATGAAAGAGATCTAGCTTCTTCTTTTTTCCTTTTAAGATCCCTTAATTTTTTTTAATTTGATCTGTTTATATTGATTTTTTTTATATTGAACTTGATAATTTTTTCAGTTATCTAAATATAAGGATCCCATGATATGGAGGAAAAATTCTACAGGGATTTAATACTCTGTTCTGCAAAAAAAAAAAAAAGAAAAAAGAAAACCGGGACGCTCGAGAGATCAATTTAAAAGAAAACCAAGGACTGGGAAAGATGGGCGGGGTAACTTGGCAGCGCGTGCAGGATGAGCCCGTGACGCTCTAGCGATGCATATGGCCTCTTTCGGCCGCCTTGGAAACGTCACTACTTCTGCAAGGCCAACAGAAAGTAGAAGTCTAGCCATGCATTTGATTATGTTAAGGGGTGCTATCAAAACGAAGAAGTTATCTTTGTTGCTGATTTGCAAGAACATGCTTGAATTTCAATGGGAAAAGTCGACCTTGAATAATGGGGGATTTCACATCAGAATTGGAGAGGATAACCGGACTGTCTCAAAAAGAGCCAAATATTCAACAAAACTGTAAAATATGAAGAAGAAAAACCTCATGAATGATGCAAGCAATGCCTGGATGTTGAAAAGTAAAACAGAAGGAAAAAAAATTGTCGCTTCCTCTTAAGATTATTTAAAATTCAATGATAATACAATAGTTAAATTACCAAGTAATTGTCCTGTACTTTTTTGCTGCGACACTTGCTAATATTATATACATAAAAAATCTTACAATATTCTTGTTCGAAAGCAAAATAAAACATTAATAAGGATTTCGTTTGTTCAAATTTTTCTCACTACTCTCTTTCTTTTTATGGATTTTTCTATCCCTTTTGTATATGTTCATTACATCTTATAACATTAACTAACCATAAACTTACAATCTCTACATAACTCTTTATGAATTAGGCTTGCTAGTTGATTGCTGATTAATTTCAAAAGATTTATTCATCCTAAGTACTTATCCACCGGATGTTCCACATTATAATAAAATATTGGCACTCAAGAGAAACGACTTTTCTTCCCCTGTTTTATTCAGAGCATCGCGTCTACACGCTACCTTTCTATCTTCAATTTCTTAGTGGTTCAAAGCCTGCTGTTTCTTCATCATTACGGGGGAGCAGGACTCCATCATCTCATGGTGAACAGCTGATAAATATTAAAAACATGGTGATTTAAGAAGATTTGTCAATAAAAATAAAGTTTGCTGAATCGCTATAAATTAAACACCTGTGTGTCTCTGTTTTTCCTTTCCCTTGTTACTATTTTGATGTGAATTAAACAAATAAACATGTAACATGCTTCATCATGAGGGTATAAATTATGCTGATTTTGCAAGTCAATAGTTTTTAAATTAATCTTGTCAAAGAATAATGTCGTTCGATGTCAACAGTAACGATGGAGGAGAGAAAAATAGGAGGATTAGGGTCCACACAGAAACACTCTGTCCAGTAACTTGAGTTTGAGATTTCACATTGGAAATTTCGGTTAAGTTTCTCCATGATATAGAATTTCTATACAAAAAATGATTTAATCAACGGACAAAACTTGAAATATATAAGCTTTAATTTAGGAGTTATATTGGTTTTTTTTTTAGAAAAGTAAAACAGAAAAATAATAATTTGTAGCCTCATCTTAGATTATTTAAAATTCTATGAAAATACAATAGTAAATTATTAAGGAATTATCCTGCGCTTGTCGGACTAGAAGTTTTTAATGACGGATTGCAAAACAAAACATTTGTTAAAATTAAAAAAAAAACCCTCCTATATTCTTGTTCCAGAACAAAGTAAAACATTATTAAGGAGAACTTTCATTTGATGGTAATATTGTTTAGATTTCGTTTGTTCAGATTTTTCTCTCTACTCTCTGTTTTTTTTTTTTTTTTTATGGATTGTTCTATCCCTTTTGTATATGTTCATTACATCCTATAACATTAACTAAACACAATCTTTCAATCTCAATAACTCCTTTTGAATTAGGCTTGCTAGTTGATTGCTGATTAGTTTCTAAAGATATGGCCATTCTACGTACTTATCTACTGGATAATATTCCACATTATAATTGTTATGCTACCAAAACAAACACAAATAAAATACAAACAAGTAGATTTATGTGATTTTCCAAAATCAGGTACGTCTACAGAGACAACAAATTATATATTATTAGAGAAATAATACAAACATTCAACTCAATTCAGTATAATTCCACAAAACTCAGTGTTTCACTTTTACACTCGATATTTCTCTCAAATCTATATTTTGAAATACTTTTACACTTGATATTTCTCTCAAATCTATATTTTGAAACACTTTTACCCTTGATATTTCTCTCAGATCTATATTTTCTCACTTTCACGGTTATACATGCAACCTGCCCACACATACTCACTTTGATCTATTTTCAAGGGCAACCTGCCCTTTTGATTAGGTTTACTTGAGATCCCATTTAGCAATCTAACAAGAACCAAAATCGGTATATAGCTCAGTCAACCTAAAATCCCATATAGCGATTCCCTTTAACCAAAGCTAAATTCTACGTGGTTAGGCTAAACTGAGATCCCTTTGTTGATCCTCTTTAACCAAACCCAAAATCCTTTGCAGTTAGGCTAAACTAAGATTCCTTTCGCCGATCGCCTTTAACCAAAACTAAAGTCTATGTGTGGTTAGGCTAAACTAAGATCCTTTCGCTGATCCCTTTTAACAAGAATCAAAATTCTTTGTAGTTAGGCTAAACTAAAA